CCTAAACATTTAATTGGGCGGCCAATTAAATTGTAAGGATTTGAAGGATTTTAGAAACTTTAATTGGGCGGGGCTGGGCTGGAGGCCGGAGGCCAGCATTTAAGTCTTTTAGAATCCTTAACTTACCGCCAACGTTACCAAGGGCCGCCGGGGACCGCCAACGGTAGGGAAAAAAAAAAGTGCGGGCCCCCTAAATATAAGCCACAAAAAGGAACTACTATGGGGCCTATGGGTATGCACGATAAGATCCTAGAAGACCATCAACGGGGGCAGGTGGCCGACACCACGCAGCGCCAAAAGGCCGTTGTCATTTCTTCCGTCGGCACCACTTGGTAGGTCTGGACCTGAGAGGAGATCGTTAGGATCTGGGGATAAACTAAGGGTTAAGGACGTCGGTAAAGAAGTGCTTTTTGGGAGGACGGTTCTATGAGGGCTTTCACGGCTGTCTATTAAAACCTTGAGGGCTTGGTACGGGGACTTGTAGGTTCTAAGGTTTAGTGATCGCTACAAGAGGGTTTAAGGCCGAAGCTGACGATGAAAGCAGACTCTCATCACGCTGCTAGCAACACAGCACGACTAACTAACACGATAAGAATGTCAGTCATAGTCTCAAGCCGGAACATTTTGCGTTAGGCCAGCTTTCTCAAAAAAATGGATGCTTGCCAACATCTCCCGAGAAGGACCCGCTACCTTATCGCATACCATATGCCAGGGAGCAATGCTCTCCGGAACCGACACATCTTCGCGAGCCAGCATATCTTCAAATGTATACTGCTGCGCGACCTGCGAGGACAAGCCGTGCCACCTAAATTTTTGAAAAAGACAATCGGGATGCTGAAGTCCAAACCTCACATGTAGACCTCGAAAGCCTAAACCATACAACCCCTCCTGGACTCTGACCTTCAACTGTGCTTTGAGCAGACTTTCACGGAGCAGCAGAGATGCTACGGTGAAAAGCGGCCAACATCTCCCGAGCAAGCAAAGCCTGGTTGCGTGGTCCATGTTCACACCCCCTGTCGGTGCCCAGGCCCGTAAACAACACCCGACCATCATAATATATGATTTTGCAAAAATAATCCGACCATAGAACAATTATTTCGCATGTCCGGGAAGTCAGGTCTTATGGTGCCGCCCCAAAACAGAAGGACGAAAAGGCATACGGTATAGGGCAAGCAAGTTGGAATCCTGTAGTGCCAAAACAGGAACTTAAATAAACAAGCTGATCTGCGAACCTGACAATACCCAAGTTGGGAACACGGGTTTAACTCAACCCAGAAAGGTCATCGTAAACCGGAAACTCTAGTCTACAGCTCACAACATATGCTTAGATGCTGAACAGAAGTCTAATCCATCTGCTGCCTTGGCGATGAGCCGCTGAACATCCTGCATGGCTGACTCTCATCACCTAACCGGCTCCCGAAGCCCTTCTACAAGGGATGACAGCACACTTCAATCAGCAGGGATACTTCAAATGCTTCAGGGGCCTGGAGTCCTTCCATGAGGTATAGCGGGCAAGAACTCTGCAAACAGGCGCCTTAAATAGTAAGTAGAATAGGGTTTAGGAGTATTTCATGTGTTGCAACGGAAGCCCTGTATTCAGGCTTAGTAACTGAATTCAGGCTTAGTACCTGGTTTGTCCATCCCCTACATTTCACACCCCAAAACTCTCAAGTCCAGAATCCCTAAAGCCCTAAGCCCGGAGACTGATCCCTGGGCCAGGTTTAGGGAATATCCATTCATGCAGAACCACCGGACTTCCTGGCTTTCATTTAGAGTATATGGGGTTGAAGGTTTGGGGTTGAGGGTTGAGGGTTGAAGGTTTGGGGTTGAGGGTTTGAGGTTGAAGGCTTGGGGTTGAGGGCTTTTTGAGACGCTAAAAATTACAAAAGCCTGAAACAAAGCCCTGAAGCCTAAACCACAAGACCTAGAGCAAGAAGCCTGATTCCCCAAGCATCCCCATACCCATAGGCCCCATAGTAG